GTAGTATGATAAATATTTTAAAATATTGTTTTGTTAATGGAATTTGAATTTGAGACTTTTGAATTAAACTCTATACTCTTATAATTAGATTTTTGGTAAATCTAAATTTATAAGTTGATTCATTAATTACTAGAGGATTTGGACGTAGAAATAGATTATAAAAACTATAAAATGATGATTATAGGCTTGAGATAAAGTTTGTAATTTTTGAATATTTTTATATACAAAGTTATGAAATAAAAAAGAAAAATTTGATATTAGAAAATTGTTGAAGGTTGATTTTAGCCAAAGATTCAAAGAACTAATGTAAGTTAAAAGAAAACTAATGAACTAAGTGGATATGTTTAAATATATGAAATTAAATTTTTAAAATTCAAAAGGCTAAAACTAAAGTCTTGAAAATGTTCAAGTGATGAAACATAAGTGGGAATTATGTTGATGATATTATTGACACGTGATATGATTAATTATTATTTGACACCAATCAAGCTTTGTAAGTATTGTAATTAGGGAGTAACCTTTGACTTCTCAAAAGTTTAAGGTAACCGGAAGAAATTTATTTTATACATTTGTATGTTAAATAATTGTTTATGTTTGTGAAACAAATGAATATATATATATATATATATAACCAAAACTTGAAATTATTGTTTGTAATGCATATGTGGCCTTATTGAGATCCTATGATTTGTGACAAAGTTAATTGTGGCACATGTAAAGAATTTGAATATGATGGCCATATATAAAAAAAATGAATAAGAAAGCTTGCTTTGTAATGTGAAATATTAATATTAATTTATGCTTTCATAGGATAATATGACATGATTTGAGTAATGAGGTTGATGGTTGATGATTATATACATACTTTTAATTATAAATTGTGGATTATATATGGTGATGAATTGTATATGGGTATGTTGAGTTTTTATATGATGTTAATGTGATTTATATGGTAACATGAAAATTGATGCATGAGATATGATTGAGATATGATAATTTTTTATGCTTGCTAAGCATATAAATTGAAAAACATGTGGGATAGTTGCGAATTATACATTTGAGTTATTGAAATGCATCTTTTCATGAGCATGATCATATAGCAAGAGTTCGCCTTAGTGAAGGAGTTAGCAATTGTGCAAAATTCATATGTTACTTGACTATTAACCGTTAATCTTAGGGGTTATAGCTACCACTTACCTTATAGGGTATTGTAATACTATTCCTATTAAGGAACTTAACCTTACTAGACTACCTGAAATTTTGGGTAGAGCTAGTCTTGTGTATGACATCCTATAGCATGTGACTTAAGGAAAATTGTATTCATAAGTAAGTAAGATAATCTTGATCCAGTAGCCCCTCATGATACGATTAAGGCTTTGGGTAGTCTCACCACATGAATGATCTTTTTAATTGTTGGCCCACGAATTTCATGTAAGAAGAAATAAGGGAGTGATATAAGGAAGAAAATGATCATGTATTTCATTATTGTTATGCCATTTAAGTGATTATTGGATATGTTTGAGATTATGATTATAATTGTGAAAATAAAAACGTGTGGTAAATATGTGAATAATGTATATGCGGGCACTTGTGCCAATTTTGTACAAACATTCAGTACTTGTGACAGTCATGCCAATTTTGTACTTGCTTTATTTTTGAAATTGTTTACATAAGTTAGATGTTGATGTGATTAACATGATCTTGATATGATTGTTTACACGATAATCTTGATGAATTTATTAACCATTTGCATTCATAATTAATTATTATGCATTTGTATAACTTAGATTTACATTGGTTGCTGAGTGATTATTCTCTTTTAACATATTACAGAAGCTAGGTCATTTGAAAAAAAATAAAGGAAAGGAGCATCAGACTAAGTGATAATAATAACTTATGTATGCCTTTTTTATTTTGATATGTGTATTCAGTTTATAATATTGCTAACTAAGATAATATATTATTGATTCACTTGCATTATGGGTTTTGTATTGGGTGGAAATGTATTTTGGGCTATTGGAAATGTGGTTGGGTACTTATATTTATATTAGTGGGCTAAAATATTTGTGTGAATGAAAATAGTTATTATATGCATGATTTTAGAACTTAAGTATTATTATGGTCTCCTCTTGTGTTTTTTATGTTCAAGGCTAAGTAGTTAGTATTAACTATATACGAATGAAAAGGCAAATTTATACATGTGATAAGAGATTGATGAATAGATTATATACATAGAGTATAATGACTATGTCATAATCATTGTGATAAATGTAATTGAAATTTTGATCTCCCATTGTCAATTATGGATGGGTTTGAGTAGGCAAATGTTATGTTGGTAAATATATATATATATATATATATACTATATGGAGTAAGACACAGAGAGAAAATGATGAGGAAAGTTTTTATCTTAGCTTGAAATGTGTTTCTTAATGCTTAATCGATCTCATGTTTTCACATAAGTGTAATTGAATTATGTGAGTTCTCAAAATATTTTAAAGACTTAAGATCCGTTGTTTTAAATAGTTTGTGAAAATACTTGTTAATGACTTATTTAGGTTAATCTCTTATAGAATAATCATTTTAGGTTAGTTATTGATTAACCACGATTAGTATGATGATTTAAATCCTAATTATTTAAAGCACCCTTACAAAGGACATACTTTTGCCTTAATATATATTAATGGGAAAAAATATACTTAACCTTATGTACTTTAAGTATTTATTTTCAATTAAATCAAGACATATAGAGTTTTATATATTATAGGGAAAATATCATTTAAGAACTACTAAAGGTATTTAATATCAAACAAATACTAAAAAATTTTGAAATATCATTACAGGATTAGGGAACTGATTTGAAAATAATTGTAGATAGGAAAAACTATAATAACATTATTATTTTTTTAATTAACAAGTAGTCATTTGTTAACAAGAAGCTATTTATTAATTGACAAGTTTAAAAACTTAAAAAAGTTTGGTTGTAATGGGAAAGGACAAGTATAAATCATGTTTTAACAAGTAGATATCTGTTAATTGACAAATGTACAGTTGCATTTAACAAAAATTTATTCACAATTGACAAGTTCAAAAATATGAAGAGTCTGACTATAAGAAGAAACAAATATAGATCATATTTTATTAAGTAGTCATTCATTAATCAATAAGTAAACATTCACATTTAACAAAAAATATATGCTAATTAACAAGTTTAGAAAAAGAAAAAAAAGAAGGGGTATTATAATATTTTTCTCGTATAAAATTTTTGTCCAATTAGTCCCGTAGTCCAGCAATGATATTTTAAAATATTTTGATCTTTATTTAATATTAAATTCCCCCAATTAAATGACATTTTTTCTATATTATATATGCCATAAAAAACTCTTGTCATTAATAATAATAATAATAATAATACTACTACTTTAAAATCCACTTGACAGAAAAGTATATATTCTAAGTAACAAATGAACCGTTGACCATTGTGTCAACATGTTTAATGCTACTTTAATTGTCAATAAATTAATTAATATTAACTAAGTGAGCTTTGTAATTTGTACTGAGAAAATTCAAGCACGTGATTTGCAATAAAAAAGGTTCAACTTTATAATATTTTCAAGAATTTTTATAAATTATAATAATAATAATAATAATAATAATAATAATAATAATAATAATAAGGGGCACATATAGCCCATATTATAAGACTAAGTAAAAGAAATAGTCTATCATTTCTTAAATTTTAAAAATGATCATTTTAATATTTAGATTATAATTAATTTATAAAACTATTCATTTTAATATTTGCTTTTTTTTTCAAATATCAAGGGATTCAAAACGCAAGAAATTCCTGGATTGAGAGAAACAAATGTGAGAGAGAAGATAGAACTTGATGTGAGAGAGACGAACGTGAGATAGTAGAGCAGTGTGAGTGAGTTACAATCACGACAGCGAGAGACAAACGCAAGGTGAGATACATCGACGGTGGTTGTCAGAACAGAGCATGCCAACGAGGAAAGAGAGCTATAGATTTATGAGTTTTTATTTTATTAATTTAGGTATTTGATTCATGTGGTAAGTTAGGAGTTTAATTTTTTTTTTTGTAGAATATGTTTGATTTGTTTTGGGTAAATGATTATACGTTTTTTGTATTACTGATCTACGATATTACATCATTGATATACGACTGTATATCAATTATAAACAAGTTTATATTTGATTATCTGGTTATGTTGATCTATAATAGTATATTAGTAAATATTACTAATATATAAGCCATATCAACGAAAAATTACCAATTTGTTTATCATTAATATACAATTATATATCAATGATGTTGTGTCACAAATCAGTAATAGAGTATCATTTTCAATGTCTAATGTCCTCTTTATAATATCTTGAAAAATAGAGGGGGAGAGAGGAAAATATATGTGAAGAAGATGGTGATCCAAGTAAATCAGATAAAAAATTTTGATGAAGAAAAGCACTCTGTATAAGATATGAATATGATGATCCAAAAAAATTAAATCAAAAAATATAAAAAAAATTCAATGATGATAAATTAGAGAGGGAGCTAGCACAATACGATTTTTGATAATAAAAATGATTAGTTAAATTATATATATTCTATTTTAATAATAAATTTATTTTGAGGATTAAAAAAATATATATTTAATTAATTTTATAAATGGGCCATATTTTAAAATATTTAAAAATTTCATTTATAATTTATGAAATTTATATTTTTTAATTTCATTGAGCTAATATTTTCTAATGTTATGTTAATATTTATACTTACCTTAATATTGAGATAAATATATTAGTGAAGAATCCCACAAAAATAGGGGCACTGTAGAACTAGTGTGAAATTAAAAAAAAAAAAACCGGGAGGGAACCAACATGCCACGTGTACACATCTTGCGGGTTTAGGATCGAACTACCAGTTTATGTATGAATAAATACGTTGGACTGGTGGGTTATGCGCCATACCTAATGTTCTTCTCCGTATTGCCTAGGCCTCTCCATTGGTCTCACTCTAATATGTTGCTCTTTCTCCTTCAATTCAACTGGGTCCAGCATTTGATTCCATGGACACATCAATATCTTCGCAATCCCTCTCTTTCTTTGATTTTCTCGATCGTATGCGAAACCCCGCTTCCGTCAATCTTGTCCGATCCATCAAAAGGTGAATGACCCTTTTCTTTTGTTTTTCCTTTCTTTCGGGCTCGATATCATATATCGCATTTGGCTTTGCGAATTCTGTGCGCAATTTTGCGTGTTCTGTTTGTTGAAGTTTGTTTAGAAAATCTGACTTTGTGGTTGTCTTTGTTGTGTTTTGCCCTAATTGTTGCCAATGGGTGGTGCATTGTTTTTTCCTGTCTATGAGTAGCTTATTGTTTTATGCCCTAAGATGTTGCCAAATAATTCCGGTTACAACTTGAAGGAATAGATAGATTCTTGGCAACTTGAACGCATTAGAAAGGTGCAGCTAGTTTTATGTTCAAGTGATCAGCGTAGTTTGGCAGCACATAGAACACGTTGATATTTGATTGCAATTGTTTTGTGGGCATGTGTTTCTAAAATACTTAGAAATCATATTATAAGATATATTGATACAAGATAATTAGATAATTCAAGATCATTGGGTTGAGTTCATTCCTAGAATCCACTGTTGCGTACCGAACATGGAATTCTGGAATTTTCCATGTGTTTCATACCCAAAATATTTTAAATAGGTCTTCAAGTTCTCCAGGACTTGGGATGTCCGCCACTCACCTACACACCTGATGTCGCGTAAATTTTGAATTTCAATGTCATTACCCAAAGACCATCTGATAGAAATATAGCATGACAAACAATATATATGGTTCTGATGACTAATTTTTTTTTTTTTTGGGTCCTGATTCATTTTTGAATTAGGGATTTAATTTGTTCGTTCTTTATGATATACATGTCTATTGCCATGCATTTCTTTGCATTTGTCAAACTTTTTGTTCTCTTTGTGCTGCATGTTGTAACTCCTTAATGATTTTTCCCCCAGTTTTATTGTGTCATTTTCATTTTACCCACCCAACCCTGAAAATGATGGGAAAAGAGTGCAAGAGTTTTACTTGATAATGGAAGCTGCAATTAGAGAACATCCATTATGGACGGGTGCCACTGAGGAAGAGATTGATTGTGCAATGGAGGTACTCAACTGAACCAGTTTTATGTGCTTGCATGATTTCTGAATGGAGCTTCATCTTTATAATTGAAGTGGACGGAAAAGAGTTACAATAATTACAATAAACATTTTTCCCTTGCCAGGTCATGGTAATATCATGTGTTTACCATTCTTAGAACTCCATTCCTAATGGAACACATGTGGGTTGATGAGGGCATGGTGACATAGAAATCTAAAGCAAGAACAATAATATTTATTGCTAAACGTTTATATTCACTGTGGAGCATAGTTAGATTCAAGATTACAATTTATCTAGCTGCCTAAAGTGGAATTGTTATAATCAGTAGTTGATTAGTTGAAAATAGCTGTCTTAATGATATTTTGAACTTTCAGAGGGTGCAACCTGTACTTATATTGATGATAGGGGATGTTATAATGTTACATTTGTGTTGTTTTTTATACTATCAACAGGCTTTAGAGAAATATGTAATGACTAAGCTGTTTTCAAGAACATTTGCCGTTTCTCCTGAGGATGCTAAGATTGACCATGAAATCTCAGAGAAAATATGCTTGGTCCGAACTTTTCTGAAGCCTGAACATTTGGACATACCGGCAATTCTTCGTAAGGAAGCTTCATGGCTGGTATGGCTTAATTTAAGAAGTATGTTATTCTGTAAAACTTTGCTATGTCATTACCAAACTATTTTCTAATAATTCTCCTAATTTGCAATGTTCTTATTGCTTTCATATTTCAACTAAGCTAATGCCATTACCAAACTTTGTTTTAATTTTCTAATTTTATGCCATATCTTTTGTTCCCGTATAAATACGAAGCTCATGATATAGGATTGATTTGAGATATGAAAGCAATATCTCAAAACAAAGTTAAAAACTTTGTTTTAAACTTCAAGAAATTCCTTATAGGTGGGGAAGACAAAACCATTTCAGGACCTTCTGGGTTCAAAGGATGGCTTATGGTTTGATTTTAAGATTCTGAAGCTAAGGATTTATTTAGATTTGGAATATCCAAAAAATGGGTTTATCATTAAAAAATTAGTGAATAAAAAATTGTCAATCTTATTTAGGAAAGGTGGCTGATCTTTTACTTTTGGACTTGCTGGCTCTCTTGGGCAGCATTAGAGTAGCTGAAATTTTTCTTATGGCTAAGTAAGGGCCTCTGATGGCTAAGAAAATGACAATTGATTGGGATTGAAAAAGCTAAAAGAGAAGCGTTAAGACATAATTTAGGCTAAAAGAGAAGCGTTAAGACATAATTTAGTGCCAACTCTTGAAACTACTGACCTAATGAGTACACTTTCCATAACTTCTTGAATTGGCGGTGCTCTTGCAACTAGGCTGAAATTCATCTAAGCAGAACGTGGCTGCTATTTTGATACGGTAAGGACAAATCTCTGGATTTGTGTGATAGCAATGGCATGGAACAAAATCATTTCTGTTTGGGAAGTTTGCCAATAGTTTGAGTACTGGACATTTGCCCATCACTGAGATTTGGTAGAATTGGTGGAATTGCAAGGATCAATTTTTTCTATTGGCATAGATTGACTCTAAAAATATTGAAACCTAAAACTATTTAACCACAATTATTTAGAGCAGAGTTTGAAGTGTCAAATTTAATTACTGTGCTTAGTGTTGATGGTGTGGTACATGCCCTCTAGTATTTAATGGTAAATGGATCTTTTAAATTTCTTTCTCTTGTTTTTCATCCAAGGCCTTTAGTTTTTTCCCTTTCCTCAACTTGGATTATTTACAGAAAGTGAGACTGATTTTTTTTTTTTTGAGAAATTAATTATCTGTTTTCCCTTTACGTTCAGCTTGCAGAGAAAGAATTGCAGAAAATCAACACTTTCAAAGCTCCTCGTGAAAAGCTGTCGAGTATAATGAATTGTTGTAGGGTCATCAACAATCTTCTGCTCAATGCAGCAATGACTGAAAATCATGTGCCAGCTGGGGCAGATGAATTTCTCCCTGTGCTTATATACGTTACAATCAAGGCAAGCTACCCTTGGTAATAAGCCATTCTTCTAGTTATTAGATTCCTAACTTTTTTTAGTTATGTTGCCCATGTTTGTCACTTTTTTAAAATTTTGTTTGATCATTATCACGACAAGGAACTGAAGAGCATATAGGAAAAGTGCCTTAGTGAAAGTTTAGCTTCAATTTGAGGGTGTCGCTTTTAGATAATTAATGTCAAGGTGGGCCTCCAGTTGACCTGAACTCGTGAGCAGATTGAAAATGTTTTAGCCCATCATATATCATATACATATTAAAAAAATTATAAGTAATGCGAACTTGTGAGAAGAGTTAATAAAGTATTGTGAAATTCAACGAGATGGCCATATTGTATTGTAAATCCTCCACTTTAGATATGATATAAGAAACCCTTTGCGTATGCAAGAGTTTTCTTCAAGACAGGCATATAGACATTCCCTTCTATGCCCTAGCACTTGAGGCTTCATTTATCTTTGAGCTTTTTAGCTAAGATCATCAATCTCTAAGGTTTTAATTTGAGATATGCATATTCCTCTACCTCAAAATAGACTCCCCTCCTATGCTGATCAGCATTGTTCCTTGTTCGTGACTGGACCATCTTAAATTCTATTTAAAAGCCGTGACTCCCTTTTCTTACTGTGTTAATTTTAATTTATACTAGACAATAAAGTATTAGAGCGCTCTTCAAATACACCATCTTTCTTGCTCCAATATTCGTAGTGAAGTTGTCCCCAATTTACCCTCACTTCTACCTAGGATTTGAGTCATTCATTGCCCCTAAAAAAAGTTAAAATATGAGAGAGAGAGAGAGAGAGAGAGAGAGAATAATAAATAGCCTTCGGTTACTTGCTCAGTTTGCATACATGGAGTAACTAGTAAGGGCCTGTTCTCTCCACCTCTAGGGTGCAAGGATATTTTGATTACTGAAATGTATTGATCTTGTTCTTTTGCACAGTTGTTTGCCGTGGCCTTGTATTTTTTTTTTTTTTTAAAGTAAGGCCAATGCATAGTTGGTTTCCCTTTACTTTATCGCCTTTCCTCTTTGCCTTGGTGTTTTCACTTGCACCTTGTGCTGGCAGTAACTTATTTCTTCTCAAAGCAGTGGATACAAAATTATTTGAGGCTCCACTATCAAACAAATATGATTACCTCTTTTCTTCAGTTCCCTCTTATGCTTCATGCTTTATCCTTCATGTTGTGATTATCAGTAATGCACACTGAACTTTGTGTAAAAATCCATTATTATCTCTCGCTTTCTCTTGAAATCCATCATCTACCTCTTGGATATCCTCTTCCCCTTATCCATCTTTTCTCTACTTACTTACCTGCAAATTTTTTTGTAGTTGCACTTGTTGCTGGGTCCAACTTCCTCAATTTTGAGACATTGTCCCAACTTTCTTTTATCTCTGCCAATGTAGCCTCTTGAAATTACCTACACTCTTGGTTGTTGATGATTTTGTGACACTGTTGGCCTTGGACTCTTCTCTTCTGGTGTCTTGCCCGGGTGATTCATCCCATTTTTGCCCCAATCAAAAATTTTTGATCATGTTTCTCTCAACCATCCTCTGTGTTCCATCAATTCCTGTTGCGTTTTGGCTCTGGTCATCCTCAACTCAGCCTAGATTTCTTGCTTCAACCCATTCTGAAAAGCTCCTTTTAGTACTGCAGCAAAAGTAGAATCTTTCAAGAGAGATTCTCAGCTACTCAAAATGCTGTGTGTTTTTGCTATCTTATCCTTCTTGCTTGAGGGGCATCAACATGTCATATCCTTCTAGTTGGGATTGATGAAAGTAATCAATCAAGACCTTGAAACTCACAACTCTTGAGTGCCCTGGCTGCCTTATTTCCTTCCTTTTAAAACCAGTTCAAAGCTCTTTTCTTCAAACACATACCTAGTTGTAACCACTTTCTGAGATAATATGCATAGTTTTGTAGGGACTATCACAGCACTTTGTGCTTGCTTTCTTCATTGATTGATGTGAAAAATAAATAGCTAAATACATAGATTCCGTTGAAAACGGAAAAGAATGATATATCAAGATAATAAAGTAACAATATCATACTCTGGCAAAACAATCAAACAATTTGTAACAATCTTACTGTCCTCTTGTGGTTGCCATTTCAGTCCCCCGTCAATTCTTATATTTTGTTATAGGTTTGGAATTGCTTTTTGAGTTAGGTTCCATCAAATTTTAATATGGGGTCCTCTAACATTATGTCTTTCTATTTTGTTTCTATGGCTTGTAAAAATATTATTGTTTTAAATTGTTTGAGATGGCTGAATATGAATAATTTAGAGATTTTTTTATCTGATATATCAGGCAAATCCTCCTCAATTGCAATCAAACCTTAGATTCATCCAATTGTATCGAAGGCAAGCAAAGCTCATGTCAGAGCCTGAATATTATTTCACAAATCTCGTGTCAGCCAAGTCATTTATAGTTGATTTAAATGCTACATCGCTTTCAATGGATGAAATCAAATTTGAGGAGAGCATGCAAGCTGCAAAATTGATTACAAAAGTCACTAGCGGAACCTCTCAAGATACACAAGCAAACCAGACGAACCAACATGAGGAGACCGAGTGCAGTCCTTCAAAGAAAATCCATGGCAGCTCTATAACAGGTTAGTTTGACCTTTTTTGTCAATATATATTATCAAGCATGACATGGCTGTCACCCAACTATCTATACAGCAATGTAACATGCATTTAGCAAAAAGCAATATCACAATAGAAATCGTAGAATGAATACCTGCTCGATTGTACTGGTAATGGTTAAATCATTGTCTTGACTGGTTAAGACAGGTTTAATAAAATGTTTTGTTTATAACTATGTGATAATGGTTTGATTACAGTTTTGATTGTTAACTCTTGAACTAGTGATTTGGTTTTCAATACCTTAGTAGAAATACGAATGGAGTCTACTTGATCTTTGCATTCACCTTTATTCTGTCTCTTTAAATACATGATATCAGGGATCCATCAGATTTTGAAGAATACAAGCTTCCATAGTGATTTTGGAATATCAGTCATTAATATGGTGTGAGTTTAAATATATATATATATATATATATTTTGGCCCTAATTGTGCAGTTAATTATGCACTTGTGTTGCAGTGTCTGTTTATATTCCTCACTGTGTTACTTGTCAAGTTAATTATGAACTTGTGTTACAGTGTATTCATATTCCTCACTTTGTGTTACTTGTAACACCTTAATATTGCAGCTATGCCACTACACGGATCGGAATATCCTTATTTGGAGGCAAAGAGCGAAGAGATGACATTGAAAGATGTGGACAGATTACTAATTCTCTACAAGGATGTCGTTGCCAAGTACACAACTCTCTGCAGAGCTATCAGCAACCTTTCAACATCAGAGAAAGAACCAATCCTCCGTCATCTTGAATCACAAGGAACTGGTAGCATGCTTGCACCAAAGCCAATTATTGAGGATAAAGAAACCACCAAAGAAATATCACAGGCAAAGGATGAGAATTAGTAGAGATCATTGTATTTGTATTTAAAACATCACAAGGCTGCTGATGGATTACATAATGTTAACTTAAGCATATACTTCCAATTTTTTTTTTTTTAAGTCCACCTAGACTGGCACAAGTTAAAGCTAAAGCCAGAGGCTTAATAACAAAGTAACAACTCCATATACATGACAACACATTTAAAGAGACCTAACCTAACACTATACAGATACAAACATACTATACACTCAGCGCACACCAAAATTCAGAGCCAGGTTGCAAGCAACTGCAGGACTGTCGGTTGCCACCACTTCACGCCTGCATGAAGATTTTGCTTTACTGGGGGTTCTTGCTTCATCAACAGAGTTGTTCAGTTTACAAGCTGCGTTTGCTTCATCGTCCGCATGGTGGATTTTCGCTCCATCCATAGGGTGGATTCTGGGTTCATCAACAGGGTAGATTCTTGGTCCATTAACGGTCAAATTTTTTGGTTCAACAGAGTGGATTCTTGTTCTTGGTCCGTCAACGGTCAAGTTTTTTGGTTCATCAAGGTTTGGCAGTTTCTTAGCTTCCTTGCGGTATGATTTGATGCACCTCATGCATACGAATTTGGAAGGAACAGCAATAGAGCTATCGATTCCAGCACACCTGGTATGCTGCCAAACACCACAAGTATCACATGCTAACATTTTCTCCCCATCATCGTCCTTAGCCCCACATGTGCAATCAACTTTCCACGTCTCTGTTCCTCTCTCCATTCGGAATCGGTTTAGCCCATGTTTTGCAGGGCATTTACCTAAAATTCGGACAGACCCACTAGTTCCAAGCAGGAGCTTTACAGTGAGATTGTCCTTGATAGATCCATATTCCAGAAGTTCCTCGGCTTGAAACCTCTTGTACATGGCATACACTTCTTGAAAAGCATCGGTCGCCTCCTTCTTGAGATCAGCTACAGTGGCATTTAGGTGTAGCAAGATTAATTCTGGAGGTGGGGTTGGATCATCTTTTGGCTGATCTGAAAGCTCCACATGACACCACAGCCTAATACAAGGAGGCGTTTGTTCACCGACCATCTTATCAGGCTTGTAATCCTTCATGAACTGCTTGCAGTCGAGGAGCTTCCTGGCCGAATCAGCCACCCGCTTCCTCATAATTTTAGGTTTGTAGCTCACCATCCTTTCAGGATGAATAATGGAATCAAACAGGAATTTCAAATCGGCAATCACTTGTTCTTTTGATGGGTAACCTGAATTTGCATTAACTTCATTTTCCATGACATTCAAGGGTTCAAGCCTGATCGTTCAAGATAGATGAAAAGTATTAGTAATTGTATGCAAAAGCGACTAACAAAAGCAGGACAAATACAATTACAATCTTTACCTGAACTCCACAGCACTAGATGCGGGATTGCATCTTGACTTAACTACCATACCGAAGGCAGCTAACTTTCCCCCTAGATGTTTCAGACTGTAATCTAGAAGCTCTGGAGATGCAACACCCCTACTTAATGCACCCTTGAGAGCTCGTCTTGTAACCCATTTGGCCCCACTAGAGGTAGCCGATGCAAGCAGTACCTTGATCAAAGCCTGTTGCACAGCTTCAACATCATTGCTTGTCCAGGCACACAACACATTGCAAGTTTCAGCATCCGATGTTCTTGTGGTCAAAGGCTTGTGGAACTCACGAATTAAGCTCGCCAAAAAGGAGAATAGATCTTTGATAGTTAACAGTTCAGTATCCGCCAAAGACTGGTAAAGAGAAATAACACACTGCAGGCGGCTTCGGGGACCACGATCCTGGAATAATAAATCCGATAGGGGCATGCTTGACAGGGTATTCACTGCTTTTTGGTACGAGTCTTGAGTGAGAGCATAGCTACCAGTCCCAAATTCATAACCCCAATTCCCATACCAAGAACAGCCATTGGTGATTGCATGAAGCAATCGGTATTCCATCCCAAACTTCTTCGACAAATCCATCACACTAACCTTCCTGTTCATTTCTTTTCATAATCAGATTCTTTACTGAAAAACAAGACAGTGAATCGAAAAATATGTGCTGTTAGAGACGGAGGATGCAAACCTAACAGCAAGTGCAACACAAAGCCTGTCCCAGAAACCCATTATGTCAGAACCAGAGAGAAGGCTTGAACCACCCTCTCTTCCATTAAGAGTCATCAAATGGCCATAACCATTGGAATGGACAATCCCGTGCAGAACATGAGTGTTATCTTCAATTTGACTATACACCCAATCCTCAAGATCATCAACAGTGATGACAGTGTCGCACCATTTACACCTGCCACGTTCAATATTTCCAGATACGTAAAACAAGAATCCCAAAAAACAAATATACAAACAACACTCGTTTTTTTTATTTTCTTTTTCTTTTTAAAAAAATCAGCAATGGCAAGCCAAAGCTTGAAAAGGAGCTACAAATTACAAAATATTAATTACAGAGACATGGATCCCTTTCTCAGATAAGAATATTTGCAACACGGCGGGGCTTCAAGAAGCATTCTAAAGCCAAACTCAACAGAATAAGCATCTTTCGCAATAAGACTCGTTTATTTTCAAAAAGCTCAAAAAGACTCTGAAGACTTGGAAAGAAGACTCTGTTTTCGCTAAAAAGCTAACAACGGAATAGTATTCAAGCTCACCTTGGTTCCGAAAGTTGGGTAGATTTCCCACATAACGAACAAGGTCTTTCATATGCATCCATGCGATTACTTGATGCTCGGATAATGACGTGATATCGCTTTCGGCATACCGGATGGCCGCTCCATCCTTTTGATTTTTTGCCAACAAAAAAGTCACAGAAGAAAAGTCAATCTCAGAATAATAGCCACACATATCCCACTCAGTTCTTACCTTAAGACTTAAGTAATTATTATTTAATAATTGAAAATTCATAATAATGGTTAAAATAATTATTATTTAATAATTATATAAAGATAAATTAAAAAAATTAAAAATACAATAAAACAATTTTTATCATTTTATTTTAAATTTCATTTCACATGCATCGATCGGCCAGTCGACGAACTCGTTACTCGGTGAGGTTCGGTCACATACTCGTGCTCAACGTAAAATCTCTAGTTCGCTACTAAATATCTAACACAGTAACATGGTTCGGTTTCCGTATCACAACAATTAATTAAGAATCTGCTCAGCTGGGGCAGATCCCTTTTTAACTCGGACATATGGACTCGGTGAGTCGACTCACCAACAACTCGGCACTGATCACAGTAGACTGAGGATCGAGATCGAGTTACGTCTTCCTCCACAATGTCAAGGGTGACAATCGCCGGCGACAGATCGGACCCATCGACGAGTCCTCCGATCCGAAACAAAATCTGCCACGTCATCAACGACGAAAACAACGACGGGGGATACGTGACCATCGCATAATTAGTAAGAAACCGCTGAACGGCTTTCCGAAACGGCTGACCGCCGCCGACTACATCGTCGCAGCAGCGGTCACCGGCGGCCGGAAAAGTGAGAAAATCGTAAAGATCGGCTGATACTCTCCTCTTCATCCTCTTCGACGGCCTTTCATTCACCACCATGTCGATTCCGAAACAACAACTTAGAAAAAGCTCAGGAACTGAGCAGATCTAAAGAGAAAAGGTGCGAAGAGAAAAACCGAAAGAAAGAGACAGAGAGAGGGGGGGGAGAATTTTCAGAGACGAAGAAGATGAAGGTTGTTGAGAAGAAGCAGAAGAAGACGACGACGACGTGGAGGAGAAGAGCGGCGCTAATAACTCCTAGGGTTTGATTTTTGTTTATAGCCGGTTCAGGCTATGGCGGTTCGTTTTTTTTTTTTTTGCCCTTTTGTCTTTTTCCAAGTGCCTTTTCAATTTTTTTTTTTGGATGATGTGCCTTTTTAAATTCTTATATTTATATATTAAATTAAATATGGAATTAGAAAAAGTTTCCCTGACTCAATGAGGGCGCCTCTTCAATCTTTATCAAACTCCAGACCAAAATTAAATTAAATTTTAAGCAATTCTTATCTATCTCAATAAAATGTCAGCCGTTAAAAATATTTTTATATAAATAAATCTATTCTTTATGCTTGTTAAAAATCTTTTCCATTACTCTTAGTCTTTTTTTTATCAACGTACTCTCAATCTTATATTTATAAATTATTTTTAATATATTTAATCAAAATTAAAAAATGTTAAAATTTGTTAATCCTCTTTAAAAATTTAATAAATTTATTCATATTAAATATATATATATATATTAATAATGTGCCAAGAAAATTTATAATAAAAAATTAATAACATGCTTTATAAATAAAATTAAGAAAATTTGCCTCTATCATATAAAATAGATTGAATAGAGTATGTATATAATCTATTAAAAAAATTTATATACTTAATCTTATATATTAAAAATATTTATTTTCAATTAAATTAAAATATGTGAATATTTAATATATTATTTATTTTATAATAAATTATTGTAATTAATATTATTAATATTAATGTATTAAAATTTACTTATCTTAATTTAATTGAATAAAAATATATTTAATATATAATATTAAGTATATAAGTTTTGCTTATTTATCACTATAGCATATTGGTATAGATGTTGGTGTTGATAAAATAGGTAGAGCTAAAAAAATTTATTTATCTATTTATTTATACAAATAAATATGAATATATTTATATATAATAAAAATATTTTAAGCAAAAAAAATTTGATCCCATGCATCTGTATGTACGACCTGAACTAATTGTACTGCTTTTTTAATGTCCTTTTTTCAGAATTTTCAATTTCTTAACTCAATATTTATTAATCTAAAATAATTAAATAAACAATTTTTTATTAATATAAGTTAAATTAAACATCTTATTAGTTGGAAGAGGGAGGAGAGATTTTAATGAGTTTAAATTAAAACAATTGAAAAGGTAAGATTAAAAGTTTTTAATTAATTTTTGTTACTCTTTTATCTTAGTTCCTCTCGATATTAAAATTTTTCTTATTCATTTTTTAAACCCAACTAATTAAAATGTATTCTCTCCTCCTTCTTTTCCTATTTTCCTCCGGCCAAAGAAATGCAAAATAAGTTTTTGTTGCATTTATATTTATTTTTTATATTTAATAAAAGGAAAAGGATTTGTAGATTCTTTGCAAGGGCGGTCGTGTAGGGCGAATGCCAAATAAAACAAGAGCACGTCAAAAGAACGATCTCTTTATTTTGGGAGAATTGCACCTAAGGTTCCTAGAATGAAAAAATTTGCACATGTAACCCAATATATTCTGAATTGTTTTTGCAAGCCAAGGCCCCAAATGCAAATATATTTTTTTATAAAAAAATGCATTTGTCCTGAATGCACAAGTTTTTTAAGCATATCTACAACACAATATCAACATAACAAGATCCATATTTGAACAATATAATATTCATTTATTATACATAGTATGTGGTTAAGTTAAACAACAATGTATAAGTTTTTTAGATATACATATAACATAGCATTTATAAAAAAAAACATGACAAAATTTATACATAAACACCACAATATTTATTTATTATACATAATTCATGTGGTTAAATTAAAAATTAATGTAAAGTCTCACAAATTTATGCACATAACTATATTTATAAAAAAAACATGACAAGGTCCACACACAAGCAACGCAATATTAATTTATTTATTATTCATAATCTATATGGTTAGAGGCAAATCTGTATTTTCATATACAAAATATTTGTATTTAGAGCCTTTAGAATGCATAAACAACTAGAATATATTGGGTCTTACAGGTGATTTGCTCTATTCTAGGAGTCTCAGATTCAATTCTCCCTATTATTTTTTGTGATAAAAAATATTTAGAGCTTTTACAATATAACTTATGTTCTAAAATCAAATTAAACAAACCACTTAATATTTATTATATTTTATATTATGGTCAGTTTGTTATATTTGTTAATGATATATTATTATATATTAATAATAAACTCTTTATAAATTTTTAAATTTTTAATAATAATTTTTTTATATATCAATGTAAATTGACCACATTTTTAAAATTTTAAAAATTTAATCTATATTTTTTGTGTACAAAATTTTTTTTTATCAATGAACTAATTTATCCAAAATATTTTAATACGGTTTGTCATAGTTTTCATCTCATTCATTCCTCTTGATAAGGTCAGGGAACATCGGATAAAAAATTCCTCTTGATAAGGATCTTAAATTCTTAATCTATTTCGGCATTTATATTTTTTAATGGATTTTATACTTTTATGCATCAAATCAAGACTGATAACTTTGAATTTCCTCTACATATATCATACAATAAATGAATATGAATTTTGTTTAATATTCATTCTATAAACTAGAATTTGATATGATGAATTAATCTGTATAATTATTACCAGAAAATATGTAGAATTAATTTTTTACCTTGATTGAATTTTCTTTTCTTTCTTTTTTTTTTACCTTCATGATTGGAATTAAATTCAAGCATTCAACAACAGCCTTCATAAATCGCCAATAATGGCTGGGAGGATAACATTGAAGTCTCAAGGTCAATTAACTCAAATTAATTTTTAAATGTTACATTTTAAAAATTTATACATTTAGCTCTCAATTTTATAATTTTAGTATGATGAATTTGTAATTTATTTTTTAAAATTTTAAGAGGAAAAAAATTTATTTATTTTTTAACCATATTAAAATTTAAAAAAAATTATATATTCATCAATAAACAAACTTATAAATTCTTAAAATTTAACACTTATGATTTAATTTGAATTAATTGATTTTAGAACCTATATGTCATTCTCCCACAAAAGGTTGGTCCAATGACTAAGCATTTAGTCCATAACTCATAAGATTGCACGATTAAATTCAGTTATTGATATGAGAACTTTATTAGTGGGTGATTTATAAATATTTTGAGTTTGAAGAAATGTCCTCGCCCTAATGAATCTTCCAAACCCTGCTCTGCTAAATTTTATCTTATAAACAAATTTATAAATCTGAATCTATGAGCTTGGGAAGACGTTGACTTAATCAATCTAATGGGTGAATATTGTTATTATTATTATTATACAATAATATAAAGTTTATAATCTTGAACAATACATTATTTTCAGACTCGGTTCAACAAGCAAATTTCGTCAAATATGCGGAACAGAACAAACTGATGCGAAATGACAAATCTGCCCTCAAGCTCAAAGTACTATTGATGTGAGAGAAAATATGCCGAGACTCGACTGAGTTGACTCCAAACCTATATATATATATATATATATATTTGCGAAAGTGATGAAGTGGCTCTCATCCACGAACTCTGCCAGAATAAAGAAGGCAATTGATGAGGAGAAAAAGAAGCGGCGCACTTTGACTCAAATCAGAAAACTTATTTCATGTGGTTTGATACATTTTAATTTCGGAGAATTTCAAATGAAGAATGAGGATGTGACATGGTGTTAAAAAATTTTAAAATTTTAATTTAATTTAAAAATATAAAAGTAAAAATAATTTTAACTATAAAAAAATTAAAATATATTTTACTTGTTACGTAGAATCATTAATTATTTTTTTTATTTCACTTATTTATTTATCAATATCAATTATAAATTATATCTATTTGTTAGATAAACAGTAACATTAGTTGTTAATTTATTAATTTTACTTGTTGATTTACTAATATCAACTACAAATTATAAGACCTATCAGTAATTTACATCTAATGTTAGTAAATTAATAAGTAAAGTTAGTAATTTAATAATTAATGTCGTTATTTATGATTGAATAATTGATGTCAAATTTTATATAATTATCAACATGTCAAATTATGTAATTTGCAACTCACATTAGTAAATTAACAAGTATAGTAAAAAAATTAATAATTAATAACTAGTGATGATGTCACATTCCTGATCTTTATTTAAAAGTTTTTATTTTATTTTTTTCTTTGAAATAGATAATTTTCTTCACGTTAAAATATAAAATATTTTTAATTGAATTGTATCTTTCCATAAATCAGTTAATTGTTTTTAAATTAATGCTATTTTTTATTTTTATCTTTATTTATTATGATATTTTACTTAAAGATAAATATAAATTAATTTATTTATTAAATATATTTAAAAAATCACATTAATTGAACTTTAAAATATTAAAAATATATTTTTAATATTAATTTCATAAAAAATATCTTATTTTTTTTAATTGAGAGAGTATATCTATGGCAAAAAAAAAAGAAGATATATTTTAATTTTTTAAAAATGTTCATTATATTAGATTTTATCTATTTATTTATATACTTGGTGGTCCATATAAAATACATTTTGAAATATATGATAAAGTTAGATTTATTATTTTTTAAAATTTTTTCATTTATTTATTATCATTTGAATTCTCAGATTACAATTTAATATGGTTATTAATTGCAAAAAATAGTAAAATTTAAAGTTCTAAATTTTTTAAAAGTACTATTTTTTTAAGGCATGAAATCAGTTAAGCTTGTCCTATATTAAAGACTAGAGGGAGTATTATGTAATTTAATTTTTTTTACTAAATTACTTTGTTCTTAAGACACAAAAATTACAAATTGCTTTTCGAGTAGTGTACATACAATGTATAGGCACTTTTTTGGTCTTTATAAAAGCATGGAACATTCAAGACCATAGTGCTTGTACTTTTTCATTGGCCTTGCAGTTGCTTAAATTTTTTCTACCTATAACATTAATTCATCCTTATTATTTTAACAAAATTTAATTTATTGATGTGTAAATA